TTGTTACAATGTGCACTACACACTCAGAGTAGAAATAAAAAGCACTGACCAAAAGTCCCTAAAAGAAAATCTTTGCTAAATGATAATTTCGATAATTTACATTTCTCTGCAGCACGATGACAATCTGTTAAGTCCCTGATTATGAAAGTTATCCTTGCCATCTTATGTGAGTTTCCAGAGTTTTCTTTTGTTGAAACCAAGCATAAGACAGAACTCAAAATAAACTATAGAGGTGCATTCCTAGACCTTCAGCTATTGGGAATAGAGACTGTCCAAAGACTGACCTTCAGTTTTGAGCTTTGAAGTTCAAAAGTAGACAGGTGGAAATATTGTGTTCTTCATTGCCCTTTGGTGTGAGATATATTCTGGGTTGCAGAGTAAGTGCCAACAGCAGCAAAATTATCGCCCCCTCCTGCTACTATAGTAAGTCAGCAATGGCCCTTCTGCGGTCAAAATGGCAAATTCAGCAGCAGCTATTCGACAGGGATTTGCAAAAACTTCCCCATGGCTGTTAGGAATCTTATTCAGCAGTGTCTTTGAAAACCCAATTCTGTGCAGAATTCACTATGTAGAAATGACCTCAATTGCGATTTTTTTAAAAAAAAATGTGTTTTAAACAAATATAATTGGTAATTTTGCTCGATGTGTATTTTGCACTTAGTACTGCAAAGTCTATTAGGTACCCATACAAATATCCAGCATTCATAAGTTTTATAGTGGTTCAGAATTTTATTTCCATATTAACGTAAAGCCTTCCAAAATTCCTGGCTTTATGGAGTCAGTTCGCCATACAAAGCCACTATACATCACTTAGGTTTGTGATGAAAGAATAGAATTGCAGCTGTGTGAGTACTAGAATACCCAAACATGAATTAGACTCACAAGCATTTGGCAATAGTTCAGAAAAGGAGCTTAATCTGGTTTCATCTGAGACTGCTTTTCTCTGTTCTACAACATCCCCCCAAGATGTTGTGTCTGATATCGGATCACAACGTAATGGGAGTGACGCAAAATCAGAGAAAGCTCTAAGAAACCAGGGGCACATTTGCTTTTCCCCAGAGATGATTTTTTTCTCCTACTTCTTAGCGCCCCCCCCTCCCAGATTCCAACTCTGAAATTCAAGGTCATTCACCTATTAGATGAATTAATTATAAGCCAAAAAGCAGCATTCATCGTATTCTGATCTCACTCATATCTATAATTAAGGGTAAATATAATCTTCCTTTTTAGAAATGTACCACCCACCCATTACATTTAAAGTGCTGACTGAAATGAAATAATAGTTCAGAGCAAGATGATTTTAGTTTAACAAGAAAAAAGTTGATAATTTAAGCTCGAAGCAGTGAGTTCTATTTTTGATTACCATTCAGTTATAAATCTAATTTGAGATATATGCTGCTTTTCTGTTACTCAAGTTTAATTCATGGTTTGCATTCTTGGTTGCATAAGCAAAGTTCAGTGGTTGATCAAGGATGTTAAAATGCTCCCCCCCACCCAGAAGGAATTGGGGCAGTAGTTGAGAATGTGTTAGACTGAGACCCAGATCTGATGTAGAACAAACAAAAAAATTTAATGGAAATGGACCCTCACAGAGTGCTGCATTTGGCATTTGAGGGGCTCTGGTGGGACTTTCTGATGAAAGATTGGTTGTCGGGGGGGTGGGCCCCAAAATATTTAAACCCAGTTAACAAAATCAGCAGATTCTATTTTTTTGGTTAGGGTATTTTAAGTCTTAAGATTGTTTGTCTTTGGAAGAAAATAAGGAGTGAAGAAGGGGAAGGGCTCATCTCATCACATTGCAGACAGTTACACAAAATGCTAAACTATGGGTTTAAGATTTACAGGTTAGCTGTGCGAGATGCCACATCTTGCTTCCAGTGTTTCCTGGCAGACTCAGGCAGCTCCGTACTGGGACCCAGCATAACCGCAGAGCATGAACTTGCACAATGCGGAAACCCTGAAACCTTTACAATCTTATTGAAGGCAAAGATGAATTGGCCCATTTTGAAAGTAGACTTTAGCTTCCAAACAACTTTTATTAAGCAAAAATTTGTCTTTATATATATACACAGATGTATATATATTCATGCAGGTGAATTCATATGTAAATGAATGCCTTATCCATTTTGTGCCATATTCAATTTACCTTAATAAATGGAATGCCATTAATTTTCTAAGTTCATAAACTCAGGTTTTTTTAGCCAGTGGAATTTTTTTTTCCCTCTTTCTCATTGCTAAGAGAGTTAAATGTGTGACGTAAAGGCCAAACAATAGTAAATGGTTATTGTTCATTTTACAAGTATACTCTCCAATAGGAACACATATATTTTTATCTTAGTTTTCCCTAGGGGGGTGATTAGGGCCCCCTTAAGTATGAGGAAATGCTTATTTTTGTTGCTCTAGAAGAATGATTCTATTGTCTGAGAGAAAAAAGAAAAAGGAACAAACAGGTCTAAAAAGAAAGAAACAGGAACGTGCTTTGTGAAAAAGAGAAGAAATGAAAAAGATCAACATGAGCCCTCTACATGTGTGGAAATGCTATCTGGTCTTGGTCTTCTGTCACGATCCATACATAGTTCATGTGGCTCACATGCAAGCGTTGGGTGCATGATTTATTTACAACTGGCCTGTGAAATGATTTTCTTTTAAATTAACAACAGTAAGGTCAGCCACAGCCAGTGAGCGATCTTCTAGTTATCATTTTCCATTTTTCACAGCTCTGTTGTGAATGCTGCTAAAGCACAGTAAAGCAAGCGTGTTTGTTTTTATGTTGACCTATTGAATGCATCTACTTTCTTGGGAGTGAGAACCTTTGCCACCAGGACCAACAAGAATTAAGCAATGGTTAAGCTCATTAAGGAGAAAAGCAAGAATTTCAACATATCTGCTCAGTCTTGTTTGAGTATTTTGTATTATTTGAGGAAAAGATAAGTGAAGAAAGAGGAGTAATGTCTGTCTAAAATACAAAGTTTTCAATAATGTCATCTTCAAACTCCTCTTCTCCTGAAAGAAAGGCTTATTTGTAAATTTACCAGACTGTGAGGAGGTTGTGATTTAAATCATTCCACAGCTTTTTTGATGGAAATTTCAAAGAAAACTTGGGCTTAAACACAGATTTGGTTAATAAGGTTTACCAAGAGTGAAATTTCAGGCTGAGGTTCTAAAATTGTTGAATGCCACTTATAAAACGATAAATAATTTGATGGCGAGCTGTTGGATTCCTGATTTGTAGGAAACTATTACAAAGAGCTCTATATTTTAGTTTGTCATTGGGTAGCATTTGGATATCTTAAGTTCGGAATAGGCAGTAATTGAGCATGCGGATGTCAGATTTTTATCTGGTAAATAATCTGGCTTTATCTGGTATTGATGTGGCAAATATGAAGATACTCGCAATGAGTTTTTGCTCAAAATGAGCCGCAAACCTAAAATCTCATCCCTTAAAGTTTTATTTTAAAGTAATGTTTGTTATGTATCCCTTGGAAAAGTCTGAAACTGGAATCAGTGAAGGCAAGCTTGTCAGTAGCTGATTAGTCCTTTATATATTACTCATCCAGCACTCACAAAAATCCCTTGGAATAGAGAGGTTCTCTTTATGATATTTAGCTATATGGCACTGGAAAGGGGAGGTTTGAATTTTTGATTTTCCAGCTTATGGGTCATATTTGACCAACTGCTTTCACTAGAAGACATGCCACTTTGTTGAGCTATTTAGGAATCAAAAAGACTGTCTTAATTTAAAACAAGGACTCTTTGTTTTAGTTGGTGACTGCCTTGTGAAATTTTTCAGTTCTCAGCGGGTTAACCAGGGAACAGGGGCAGAGTCATAATTGGCCTATTTAGAGTATTTTGCATGTGAATAGTGTGTTAGTGAAGCATCCCTAAGTCTGTTGTGAGTGACATGGTGATTAGAATTTAGATTAGGGAAAACACATTCTGTACTTTATCAAGGACAGTAATTAGTTCAGTCAGTAAAAGTTGATTACAAGTAACGATAAAGTTAGATTTTTTAGTACTTAATTTTAAAATTTCTTTATTAAACAGTAAATTTGTTCTTAATATAAATGGTAGTATCTACACTTGTTTTCTTGCATATCAGGCTAATTAAAAGAACAATGTGTTCAATGCAGAGTATAATCAGGCGATTTATATATTATGGGTAAGTTTTTATGTAGTTTTTAGAAAATGTAATATTATTATAGAATCTTTCGTGTGTCATCATTTTTGAAAGTTTAGTAATTTATCACACTGTGATAAGTTAATGATATTTGTGGAAGTTTTCTAGTGCTCAGGTAAATGTTTAATCTGTGGGGATGTGTTTTAGCTTCCAGTAGTCCTCAAGAGGGCCTTCTCATGTCCTTTAATTTGTTCCTGTTAGCTTAGAATGGCTCCTATTTCTATGATTTTGGAAGTTAGTGTGAGATTTGAATTTACTCCCGGTTCTGCTGGCATTTTCTCTTCTGTGGGTGCTGTGTAAATCCGTGGAGGATAATGCTGTGCCGATGGAGAGAGGCAGAGTCCTCAGTTGAGTGGAGCATTCTGCACTCACCCCCAGTGGGAGCAGCCAGGGCAAGTTTTATGTGCATCCGAAAAATCAGATTCTCCCTGGGTTCTTGTGAAGGAAGGGCATGAATAGTTCCCAGATAGGAGCCTAAGTGTAGATTAAAGAAAAAACAACAACAACAACAACAAAACACGAGTCTTACATAAATGCCGTCTTCTTAAAAAATTAAAATGTGAGTTGTCTTAAGATGAAAATACTGTTTAAAGAGAATCACCTTCTACCTCCCTCTCAAAAGCAAAGAATTAAAAAAAAAAATCACAGACTTTGGGCTAGCTTCTTAGACTGCTTTTCTTTTTGTTCGGTTGTGTTGTAATTGTTACAGCTTAGCAGGTGCTGTTTTGTTTATTGCGTTGGTTTAAGTACTAACAATCAGTTGGGGGGTGGTGAATGTGAAAAACTAACCTTGTATGTTTGTTTTCCCTTTTTAACCTTTTAGCAGAGTCTCCTTGGAGGTGACATGGATATGGGCACCCCAGGAACCCTGTCGCCCACCAAACCTGGCTCCCAGTATTATCAGTATTCTAGCAATAACCCCCGAAGGAGGCCTCTTCACGGTGGTGCCATGGGTAAGGTATTCCTCCGTTTGAATGCCTGAGTGATTATTAGTAGTCTTTTTCTTTCTTCCTCTCTCTTTTAATACCACCCTTCTCACCCTACCCTCACCCCACCCTCCAAAACCATAAAATTTTCCTCAAATGTCAGGCTCGTGACCACCCCTCCCCAGTAGTACATTGGATGGGTATGTTAACAACTTCTAGTAGCTAGAGAACTATTTTGGTGTATGCTTATTTCTTGTTTTCTCTTGGCTGTCCATATAAGGCAACTTAAAAAAAAAAAATCAAAGCTTAAAAAAAGTTAAATATCTTGATTTTTATGAAAAAGGCAGAATTTGATGTCTGCCAGGATAAAATACGATAGCGGTACTGACATTTTGCTAAGGTAACGACTTAAGAAAATCTGGTCTAATCTAAATGGCTTCGTGGTGTAATCTGTTTTAGTTAGGAAAATGGGCGTGCGGGGACCTCACCGCCTCTTCCTTTTCTTTCAGAGGTGCAGACAAAGAAAGTTCGAAAAGTTCCTCCAGGTTTGCCATCCTCAGTAAGTACTGCTTGTTTCTGCTTTTGTATAGTGTTTATTTTGTTCTGTTTCGCATTGATGTGAGGGAGAGGGGAGTAACGAGGTGCCATGAGCCAGAGCAGCACGTTTATCTAGAATGTGGATGAGGTAGGAATGACCTGCACTTCCAGCCACCTGACCCACGTTGGAGTGATTAATTGCATATCCTGGAAGACTGGGTGGTTGTGTTGATACTCAGCAGGTTAAGCTCTGAAGAGAGCCTTGAAAAGGTGCCTGAAGTTCGAGGAGTTTTTACCTGTACAGAGAATGAGTATTAGTTTCATCTGTTGGTTAAATTCTTTTGTCGGTATTATGATGATTTATGGATTTGCATGCGAAAGGAGATTTGTGGAGAGGATTTAGGAAAAATTTACATGGGTTTCAGCCCAGAGTGCAGAGAGAATGTCTCTATTTTCTAGAGAGGTGACTGAATAAAAGCTTCAGAGGTAGCCGCATCAGTAGCCATTTGTGTCTGGAATACCAGGTGACAACCAGAAGAAACAGCTGTAACCAAGAGCATTCTGGGTCTTTTTAATACCTGGAGCTGTACTCAGGCGCTGCTGAGGTCCCTCCAGTCTCCAACGCAGCAAAAGGTGGCTGTGATCACAACTAAATAAGATATGTTTATTTTCAATTCTTTCATATATTTTCCAATCTGAGTTCCTAAGATGGTTTTATTTAATTTTGTTTAGAACAGTCTTTTCCTAACGATTTCCTCCTTACGTAGAATAAAAATATGAGTTCCTCTCTTCTTTTTTTCCCTTCTTCCTTCCTTCCTGTGAGATAGATACAGGTATAGATACACAGTTTTGATTTAATTTAATTTAATTCTGTGTTCTGTAGGGCACTAGTATTCTTTGAAAAGAATGCTAATGAGCCCTATTGTTAAGTTCTTCTTCTCTAAAATAAAATGATATTTGGGTTTCTGAAAATATATTACCAATCAATGCTCACATATTAGTTTTACTTCATTTTTAATGAATTAGGAGAATAATAGGTTTTGCAAATGTGCTAAGATTAGATTAACCCAAACACCTGTGTATTTGACTTGATTTTTAGTTCAGCTCATCCAAAAAATTATTAAGTGAATATATCAGAGTGAGTCTTTATCAGGAAGGAAACACAAATTTTGTATGCTGATTATCATAGACTTGGTAATGTTGAAGAAGCATCACAAAATTATCCATAAATATAGAAAAATATTGTGTAAATAAAACTGCCAATAGCGTATAAAATAGTCACTTTAGACTACCAGTAAGTCACTTAAAAAGTGTACTCAGTGGTTTATTCTTTAAACTTCTATGCTGTATTGAAATTGACTAATATTCCCTCAGGTTTTTATAAGCATATTTTAAGCTTGAAGTTTGTGGTGGATTTAATGTAGATGAAACTTTAGCTTTTAATAGCTTTTATGACAACTTCAAATGATATAGTCCTCACAGCTGTTTACATTTTAAACATGACTGAACCTAATATGGACAGTATTGAATACAATAAGTGGACTTTGACTCTTCTGAAATGATAGAATAGCTGTTTACCATAGGAGCCGTGGAAAACTTAAAACTATAGAACCTTATTTACGCCTCAGGGTCCAATAAACTTTGTTTTTTCCAATACTAAAATTATGCAAAAATCTACACAATTTCTAAGGAGTGTTTTGGTGTGGCATTAGATATTACCTATCTGCTTAATCGTTGTCAACAATAATTTCTGCTACTTCATTGTAAATTTTTAAGTATTACCCTAGAGCTAACTGGCCACTATAGAAAATTTCACTGACACAGTTTTTTCTCTGCTATTTAGACAGTTTGTGTGTTGTTGATATGTTGTCAGATGCTTAGAAATATAAAAGTATCTTTCCTTTCTTCCCATTGGATCTGGAATTGGAAATTTAGTTTGTATTATTTAATTTTTGGCTTTCGATGGTCAGTTCAGGATTTACTCTTCTTAGAGAATTTATCTTGGCTAAATGTTTTAATGGTCTTTAAGGAACAATTTTGTAAATAGAGCCTGTTTTTGGAAAGACAAGGAGGAAAATTCAATTGAAATGGAAATTTCATCCTTGTTTTTTTTGTTTTTTCTTTTTTAAGCAAAAAAGAGTAACTTAGTTTGGTCGATTTTAGAATCCAATCGTCTATTTATTGTTACGACTTGGAAAAAAATCTCAGCTCTGTTTTAATCACAATTTTACTTAGTTTATATTAGCTTTGTTGTATTTATTGGATTGCTTATTATTTATGCACAAAGTATATGTTTTAATTTGATCTAAAGAGAGGGTCCGCAATAGTCACTGTAGCACGTTTGCCCCAGTAGACCCATATTTTCATATTTTTAGACCTCTGCCATGTTTACTCTTTTTTTAAGCTCAAATAAAAATTATGAATATAAATCTGATAATAGGTAGTTCCTAAAACTTGCTTCAGTATGTGTGAATGGTTTTATTACAAATAATAAGAAATTGGGGCTAATAAAAGGTTTTCTTTGGAGTGATTATGACTAGATAAAGACATTTATATGTTTTCTTCGATACATATTTACCATGATAAATAGTAATAAATCTGTCACAATCTGTTGTGTCAACTCACTTTTTTTTTTTCCTTTTCGACATGGGCCCTTTCTCTTCCTTAACCTAAAACAAAGAAAATTTAAACTGTAACATCTGTAATCAGATATTATTTATGGCATTACCAGAAGACAGAGGCTGGACCTCTTCTGTCGCCATTAGGCTGGATCTTCACAGAAAATGAGAGCGAGGCGCTTGCCTGGCCCTGTTTTTGAAAATACTGCAGCATCTGTGGGAGAGAGGAAACATAAGCCTGGCCCAACATCATGCCATGGATCTGGCAGGATCCTTCAATGTGTTTGTGCTGTGCACAGCCTCTAAGAGACCTCGAGTCACTGTGGAAGCGTGACAGTGATAGGGTGGCGGGAGCACCATCCTGAGGGGTCGCCTTGTTCAGGCGCAGTGGAGGGAAGGAAGTCTGTCCCCTTGGACCACAGAGGCCTGTAGTTAGGGCTAGAGTGATGTTTCTTTAAAGGAAAGGCTGTGTGAAATGACAACTCTCTAATTGCCCACAAGAGCCTTGCTTAGTACTGCAGAACATTTTCGTGTTCTCTGTTCAGACTGTAGTATGTTCTTTTCAGTCACATACCAGTTTCTTGTAGCCCTCATCTCTTGATGAGAGTTTAATGGTAAAGCTTTGTTTTTTTTGTTGTTGTTGACGCCAGAATTTATTTCACCTGTCTGATTTCTTGGATCTGCACGTGAACTTCTGGTTTGATTTCTATGTCTTGGATTTCTTCTTTAAATCCTAGATCTTAAATGTAACATTTTGCAACTTTACTGCTCTTTCCAGCAGATTTCTTCTCTTTGTATAGCCGAATCGTCATACATATTGAATCGTGAACTCATGCAGAGAAAAATACACCCATTAAATCACATTTTTGGGGAAAATGATCCATAATTCTTAGACATTTACATGGAGGCGTTAAAATCTAGAAAGCAAAAAATTTTCACATTGTGCTGTTCTAAAATATTTTTTTCTGAACACACATTAAAAGCACAAAGACATGGTCTTTCGGGAACTTTATTGTGCCCACCAATATGGAAACACATAAAACCTCCATCTTCTTATAATTTGAATGTGAAATGACATGCATTTAACCAGAAAGTATTAACAATGATAACCATTCTACTTCGAAAACATGGGTAGAATTTGTCTTCACTTCGAATTGAGTTTTGAAACTTCAGTGACAGTCACTGTCTTCCCCATTTGGAATCCTTGGAACTCAGATTTCTCTAGAAATAAGAAGTTTTATCCTTAGAAGTAGCTTATGACCTGTCTTGTCTCCAGTGATTTTTCCAAACTGAACTTTTCAGTAAAGTCTATTTTTTTAATGTTAAATTACAGTTGTTTTTTCTTTGTTTGCTTATTGTTTTCAAAATCACATAGATCTGTCAAGCTTTGTATTAGGTGGTCAGAGATAATTTTGGACACGTGGATCCTAAGGACAACAATCTCTATGGTAGTAAAGATTCTAAAATAAGATTTGGGCACTCCAAGAAACTTTGGAATGAGTTAATCATTAGGTAGGCTTGAAAAATAAAAATTCAATGTGTATGAGATGCCAGGTTTACCAATTTTCTTAACAGAAGAATTCTTAAAATAAAATCTTAAGGTTTAAATGAGACTTTCTTTTACAGAAGATATTATTAGGAATATCAGGAAAAGTTGGGTAATGTTGATGGCATTAAGTGTCCTGTGCCTTTTACATTATATAAAAAACTTCCTATTTGAAGGTTTCAAAAATGATGTAGAGTTCATACCTTAAAATATTTTTAGTGAAAAAACCTTTTTTCTTAAATGCTTGAGGAAATCACAATGTAAAAGAGAAGTTGGTAATCATTTTTTTCCTTCTTAGAGGCTCAGAAATTACATATGATTGAAAACATCATTTCCCCCATCACTTTGAAATTGATCATAAATCACAGTGATGCTATTACATGTCAGCAAAATTTTAACTTGAGGGATAATACAACTTTTGTTAAAATAAAATTTATATTAGTTTTAAAATGAACTAAGCGTCAGCCACCTGGACACCCTCCTTTGCAGGAAATTCTAGAGTAGCCAATTATGTGATAGGATATAAAAGGAGGGGCCTCATCAATGTTCATTCCTGGAGAGGTAGATCCTTTGTGAAAATGTATAACTATAGGTGTTTACATTAAAATCTTTGGATAGCTCACAATAGTTAACTTTAAACTTAGTGTGCCCATTCTCCAACTAAAGATATTGAAATATAAAGTTCAGATATTAAAATTATGCTTACTAGTTATGAAAATGTATAGACAGAAAAGAGATGAAGTATAATACAATTAAATCATCCCCAATAGGACAAAAGTACTATTCACACAATTTACACAGACTAGGTAACATGACCCTGGGGAGCACCTTGAAAGTTGAGAAAATGTTCATCACAGA